CACGAATACCTTTTTACATAGAATTGGCATTAAATTAAATGCTTTGTGCACATTCTGTTCAAAGGAACCTGAAACAATTGTACATCTTCTCAGTGAATGTAAATATGTAAAAGAAATATGGAATGATTTAACTAGATGGCTTAAAACTGTAGTAGAAGGTAACATTGAAATTAATTCAGAAAATATCCTGCTTGGATTTAAAGAAAGAAATAATAATTCATGTTATGCCATATGTATTATTGTTTAACAAATCATATATTCCTAAAAAGTAAAAGCAGCAATTTCAAATTCCAAGCATGTACAAAGGGAGATAAACAAGATATTATGGAGCAACAAAATATAGTGCCTTTTCATCATGTACACCTGACAAGTTTTATGCGTTCTGGTCATCATTCCATAATCTATTAAGAGAACCTAAATTTATTTATTGAGTTAAGGATATTTATAGATCGTGTTATTGATACAATTAATATAATTAGGTAACATATCTCTGTTATGACATGTATACTCTCGACAATATATGGAGAATGTTGTATATACAACATGTCAAACATGAAATTACTGCTTATATTTGTATGTTTGGTCTTTCGACAATATATGGAGAACGTTGCATGTAACATGTTTTAATATGAAGCCAGAAATCAAAACTTATTGTTTTCTTTTCCAGGCTTCTTCACCAGCTTTGTATTGCACTGTGGGTGAAATTCTGGAAGGGAATATTGGGGCGCCTGTACTTTCAGGTGTTCCCTTGTTTGTTTCCATGAGCATGCAACAGTTTAAACATGTTGTGGAAATTGAAGTATTACTCTTAAAATTGTATAAAGTGTTGAAAATATATGTAACATGTTTAGCATGAAGTGGACATTGAAGTTATACCTTATTTGACAGCGTTACGACTGGCCACATTTCAAGGATAGATACCAATAATAAATTATGTATATCTGTGATGATATGGTTATGTTACTGTCATTTCCCGACAGCTGGTAGAAACTCTGATTTATGCATTATCAATACAAATATTATTACATTAAAAATGTGACTGAAATATTCCCGGCATGACTTTAAATTATTTCTCACTCAGTCATTCTCGTACGTTTTAATAAAATACAAAATACGGTTTGTGGCGTTCATATTGTAAATTTGTTCATTAGTTTCTTACGAGGTTTCATCCTACAAATTTTATGGCAAGTGACGAACTGCTTCCACATTTAACATTAACTAAGCAGCAAAAAAACCCGTAAGTTTTGAATTTTCCTTCGCATAAACGTATAACTGTTAACTCATTTAAGGCTTTGATTGCATATTTTTGACAAATCTCCAACTTTACCCGAGCAAAGACATTCCTTCCCAAACTCAGAATTGAACCCAGGAAATGGTCTCAAATACGCAAGCTGACCTCGGAGATGGTACAGGGTTCTCCCTGTTTTTTTAACTAACATAAAGTCGAAGGGCATGTCCAGCTGAGAAAATGCTTTAGAAACAAATTCCTGCCCACAGTATGACTCTTAATTCCAAAATGCATCAACATGCAGCCACGCCATGAAAAAAGCGCGAATTTCATTCTGAAATCATACTGACTGTGCCATTAAAAGCAGGTGTACGAGTACCGACTCTTATTGCTTCACTAACGATTGAGAAACGAGGACAGAGATGCCGAGGTTAACACCTCGCGAAAGAGACCGTGCACTAGGCATGATTCAGGTTGGCACCAGCAGCAGGGATATTGTTCGACAACTTGGATTTGGCCACTCCACCATCGTTAGGCTTCATAGACATCAGTAGACAGGCAGCACCCGTGACCTTCAATGACCTTGGCAACAGCGTGTTACGATGCTGCATCAGGATGGCCATATTGACCTTGTCCTTATTAGTGATTGAACACTGCCGACTGCCAGGAATGCTGCACTAGTTCAAGGTTGACGTTGGGGTCATCAGCGCTGACTCCACGCGCTACAGGGCTCCATGCTCGACGTCCTTACGTCGGACCAACTCTGACTGACAGACACCGTAACGAGCGTATACAATGGGTTAGCAGGTATTTTCAGTAAAGCTTACAACATGGGCACGGTGTGGTAGTCACTGACGTGTCTTCATCTACGTAATGCTGACGGTCGATTACGTGTTTGGCGTAGACGTGGTGAACATCATGCTGATGAGTGTGTGGTTCAGACAGACCTTTGGGTGGTGGGAGTATCATGGTCTAGGGTGGAATAAATTATCGAAGGACTGCCTTCATGTCTGTCAAGGGAGAGTTAATGCCTTTATTACCGTGAGCAGATTCTTCAGAATCAGATCGTATCTGTCTTCAATCACCACCAAGATGTCCATACTTTTCAACAGGACAACACACGGGCACACACAACAAGACTTTCCATGCTGTATCTGGCCCAGCAACACATCCAGGTTATTCATTGGCCAGCACAGTCGCAAGATGTATCCCCCATGGAGCACTTGTGGGACAAAATTAATCAAAGTCTTTCGCGGCGACAACAGATGTGAAACATCCGGGAACTTGAGGCTGCACTACTGCAGAAGTGAAATGCCATCCTCAAGAACTCTATTCGAACGCTAACTGACTCATTGCGGAGACGTTGAACTGCATGTCAATGCAAATGGCGGTCACACGCAATATTTGACCCACGTGTAATTGATCCTTTCTGACTGTGGAACATTTCAATGCATGAGCGTCTTTTCTGTGTTGTATTTTTTGTCAGTCGTCCATCTGTTATAATCTACTAAAAAATATCAATTCCTTACATGTGCTTTTGATAATCTGAATTTTTATAAGTGGTGCGTTTTCAATGATGTTCAGTATATTTGTAGCTATTAACGATATTGTCGTGCATTTTAACCAGTGGGAAAACTCAGCAATAATAGAGGGAACACGGTCTACTTGGTTTCTTTCCCAAATATAGCCAAAACCATGATTATAAAGTAAGGATCTTATTGTCAACCCATTCAACGTCCATTGCAAAAACATGTCGTGACTCCTTTTACGATAGCGGTGATCTGGCTTACTGATAAGTTTTACCCAATACCTGATATATAGGCTGTGATATAGAGAGGGTATCTGCCACATCCCTCTCGCGCAACTTCATTAGATGTTCCTGCTTTTACACCCAAGACAAGTTTACATGCCAGAACATGGACTGATTCAATTTCTTAACTAACAGATAATCCCCAAACTTAAACACCATACATCAGGATTGGAAGAAAATATTAAACACGAATTTTGCATATTGCGAGAAATCGCCGTATAAAATTGTATTTTCATCAGCTCTCAAGCTATATTTTTTATTTCATAAAAGTCCTCTGGCTGAGTGAGTAAGAGACTTTAGTTTTACGCCGATTGTAGCAATATCACGGCAGGGGACACCTGTCCGAGCTGAACAACGTATCGCCAACAAATATAATGTCATACTTTTTGGACAACCGCTACCCGATATCATCTAATGACTTTCAAACACACATCTCATTTTGGGACTAATATGCTTCTGGGGACCTCCTTACATTATTCATCCTGGTATAAGCGGATTTGTTGCCGACGATTTGGGGCATGTTCACGGTCACCTATGAACACACCTATCAAAGTCTGACCCTCATCAATCGATAATATGCATATTTACGTGTACATCAATTGTAATGTACACCGGCAGAGGAAATATCCATTATATGCACGTATACAGTATACGTTGTTGTGTCAATATTGGCTGCTTATTCCGTCCCCATTTTGCGGTTGTCTTGAACCTCGGAATACTCAAAGTTCTTACGGCGTATCCGTCCTTAAAAATATACATGATTGGTGCAAATGGCCTCTCTATCTATAAGTCATGTAAAACTTTCAAAATCCCGTCTTTCCGTATATTGCCGTTTCTGAATCGGGCATGCTAGAATCTGCATGTTGTTAATTAATTATGGCATTTGCACAAACGATTCTAAACGCACCAAAGGATCAACGATACTTGCGTCTTTTACGGTGCAAGTCGGTGTTGGTTTTTAAAAGTACCAAACCAATCGTTAACGTAAAACTGGTCGATATTTTAGAGGATCGGTTTTGGGACAATACTAGCATCACTGAAAGCATTTCTGTTTGGGAATTTTTTTCAGTTCAACATGTTGCAAATTGCACATTGTCATTGTTGCATATTGTGTGACATGAAATGGCATGGACTCAACCAAGCAATACTTTTGAAGAAAAGAAGGAGACCACACTTTCGTGTCAGAAATTTTTAAAGTTGTTTTCACATTTATCTAATATGCAATCAAAACAATAGACCAGGGATTGCAAAGTTATATTTTCAAAGGGCTAAACGTATAAAGTTTGTGTAGATTTCTGTGAATGATTGAAAGCACCAAGTGGCCAAATCGTTCAGTCGTCACGCCATGGCCCCAGGGTCAAATACGCCATTGTCAGGGTGGCGTACACATGTTTTCCAGTTATACCACGCGGATGTTTGTAAAAACGGTATTATCCAATGAGATCACAGTTAGGTAAGAAAATAAATGATATTAACTGAGTTACATGACCATAGAGTGCTGTTGATTTTCTGTATTGTAAAAGATAAAAGAAGTTATACGATGATCGTAGAAGAAGTGTTTTCAGTGATCAAATGCATGCCAGATGAAGAAGAAGAATCTGCGATGCATGTTGTATATGATAGTCGTGCTATTTGTTTTAATAGTAAATCACCACATGAGAGACTAATGGTAGTAATTTCTTTATGACATGTAGTCCCCACCCTCTCTGGACCAGCTCTCTGTTCTTTGTGTTGTAGTAAACTATCATCGACATTCATAGTGCTGTAATGCCAACTCTGTGACATCGTGAATGCATTACAAAGGGATAGCCGCCATTGCAATGCCCAGTTGTTTTGGAAATATGTACGTGTGTAACTAGGAGCTGAGAAGGGTTTTTTCAATATGTCGTTCTTTTAAAATTCATTTTACAACTTGCAAAGATTTGTTAAATACCCATATAAAAATGACAGAACTATTTGACATTGATAACGTTGCTCAACATATGTTATGCAACAAATTTAATTGAATTCGGCATTTGCAACAGGAGGTATGGATGTGCATATCTCGCTAGTGGTGACGTTCCTAACGATGTTCGCCGTTTCGGGAGCATCAATGTGGAACACGTGTTTCAGAGCTGGTGAAGAAGCTACGAAGTCGACGGTGATGGTGTCCACTTTTGCGGTCACAGTCACCACAAACACTTCAGCCTCAGCTTTCAACTCATCTATGCTACGTCTCACAACTTGATCAGAGCTGCTTTCCCCGTCAGTGAAAAGAAGTACCACGTTTTCGGCGTCAGGGCGATCGCCATTGGTTTCTGTGAAGACGTCAGATGTTGCAAGTTTGATAGCATCCCCGAGAAATGTGCCCCCACCTGTGTGTGCTTGAGAACCAATGGCTTCAATGACACTTGTCTTGTTTTCACTGTAAGTATTCAAGTAGAATACGACTTCGGCTCTTCCCGAGAAAACCATGAAAGCTACGTTAGTAGCAGTTGGAGAAATGCTTATATCACTTATGGTAGTCAGCACAAGGGACTTCACCTTCTCATATTCGCTTTGATTGACAGAGGTAGACATATCGTCTATGATGAGGAGATCCAAAGGCGCTGATGTGCATTCTGAAACAGCACATGGGGTATGTAGAAGAGAACAAAGCACCCCGAACAAACAAGTAATCAAAGCCAGTTTACTGAAACATGACGGTCACTATGGTAGGTATTGATCTTTTTCCCGCTAGATACTTTAGAGGCACACTATCACACCACACTTCTCTAAAAATCAATATTTCTCTCATTCATATGTACCATCAGCCCTCAGCGAAACTACCTTATAATCTATTCCTAAAACAATTATGTATTAAGATTGCAATATGAAATTAAAAAGTTGAAATGAATGATTGTAACGTTCCATGAAATCGACTCTCGCGCCCTCAGCCGACCGAACTTTATTTCAAGCAGACCCCATAAAGTTATGCCCCTTTGAACGCTCTTTATGTATATTCTATAACGCAACTTGTTATTGAGGCCAGTTTGGAAACCACCGACAACACCACGCTTGGCACTTGTCGATGTACAGAGTAATCGTTTACATTCCATGTATGGCAAGTGTTATCTGTTTGGACGCTGTTCGCCTCGAAGTTTCAATTATCGATTTCAGGCAGGTCGTAGGTGATAATAAATCTTTAATTGTATCAAGAGGAAGCTAAAGTGAGTGCATGTGCCCCGATATATGTATTATAGACCAAAATCTTGTAGAAAAAGATGTGCCCTTAAAGATTGACTGGCTGAGCGATAACATGCTGTCGAATATTGCAATATCCTACCCTTATTTATATGTACCTAATAGTCTTTGGAGAAATCAGCACAATAATGCAGTTAACAAACCAGTAAATCATAACAAAACTTGGATTGCTCATTGAAACATCTCTCTGTTACGATACCACTAGAATATTTATTGTTAATTTAGAAAAGGAAAACAAAAGCCATTGATTCTTCCTCAGGCAATATAAAATCAGTTGGAACAATAACTTTTGAAAACTGTTTCCAAATAGTTCTACCTCTTTCACATTCAATTCCTTTGAAGCCCGGTGGACAGGTGCAGGTGAACTCGCCCTTGTTTGCCACACAAGTCCCGTTATTTAAGCAGGGATTGTTGATACATGCGTCAACATCTGGAATAGAAAGGTACATTTAATGAAATTTCCAAACCAACAAAGAACCAAGTGGATTCTCCGTGGGTTGTAACAGATGTTCAGCGCGTTACTACTTAATGTAAGGCATTTGCTGTCGAACGAGACCTTTATATTCCCCATAAATTCGTAACTTTTAAATCAATATTTACGTCTAAAAAATTGTCTTTAAAAAGCTTTCCAGGTTTATATCTATCATCAACTCAACACTAAAGAAACGTCACCGAATATAACCAAAATTAACCTTCACCTTGTTGTACTATCTTGAGAATAAAAGAATTGAATTGAATTGTAATTGCACCGGAACTTCAATGTAAGCCCTGAAGACCACGGCGGCGTGTAATGTTGCTCACACAACTAACTCCTTCGTGAAGTAACTGTAAGACGGCTAACTCTCGTGATACAGCAGGAACCATCTTGGGCGGGAAAAACATTATTTATAGAAGTAAGATACTATTTAAATCATTTAGCAGGCAGTGGCTCACCTATGATATATATATGTTTTGTTTATAAAGCATTAAATTCATATATAATAGATATGGTTGAGATGTAGCTAACTAGATTCTGTTTCTGCATTGATCTCCGTCGGGTGTTAAACATCTCGATTCATTGACATTGCAAATGATCAACAATCAGGAGTTGTCATTTAGGGAAATAGGATTGTTCCGTGGTGCAGGTGACAGGGTAGTCTGTGGTTAGATCCCTGGTCAAGAAATACCAAACGACGTTCAAGGGTGCTCGGAATTAAGGAATTAATGAAAGACAGGTATGCTTGGAGCGAATACACCTCATGGGTTTGTAGTGTTGAACTGCCGCATTGTATCGGCATCACTTAAGCAAATTTCTGAAGTCCGCATTAGTATAAGAAGCGACACACACATGCATATCGCCATATCAGTGGAATAATCTGGAAGGCCCCGTGATACGTGAACGTGAAACCCGATTTCACTTAATCTCCACATGTAATCAGCAGACAGGAATGGTATTTGAGGAAAGATCACATGAGAGGTTTCACAGGAGTTTGTTGTTTTGGTTGAACATTATCGTGACATTGTCATGTAAAAGGTTTATGCACATGTAGACACCCAGGGCTGGGTGACATATGCTCTGAAGGTGATGACATTATAAACAAGCCTTGTACTTGTTTTGACGTAAAGGCAAGGCAAGGAGTCCTTCTTAGAAGAAATTCACTACGCTTCCTGGGCAATTAAGCAATGACGCTGCAAACTTCACACCCTTTAGAGCACATGTATGCTTACCATAGCAGTACGAAAATGGACCATGGAGACGTGGTAACTTGAGCACTTGTCTACCGTCGCTGCAGTTCTGGACCGGTATGTTTCTGTATGCTGCATAACAGTCATTTTTACGCGTAGCCACACATAGAACTGCAAGGTCCCCTTTAACCTCTGCAATACACAACGTGGGGACGTTAAGATCATTAAGATCCAAATAATATTTTTAGGTCACTATCGAAGTAAAGGCATGAATGACAAGATTAGAAATTTGTATGTTACTGATTCTGGAAGGAATGCGTTTCAGATGTACACTACATGATGAACTTTTTCAAATCACGAACTATGCAGGATCTTTTCAATAATATAAGATCTCATTGAATTATTGCATTTTCAAAAGAATCAGATTTGTTGAATGAGTTGGAAATAGATAAATATTTTACGTTTGGAAGTTTAAATTAGTAGCTCCGATTGTTAGTGGCTGTATCCTCAATGGGGGTTAAAGTACTGTACAATTATTGTCCTGAGAGGGTACGAGTCCCGAGACATGCAAAGTAAATTAAACCTTTCCACTTTTTTTAATCGTAGAATACGTGTCTATTAATATATGGCTAGATTTGCTTAATTGCTGACGGCTGAAGGGATGGTGGAAATCCAGCTAGGGTCCATGCAGGAACAAAATGTACTGTAAGTCCCCATGGTCCCTAGTATGGTGATCTACCTTCAGTCGTTGGGAATCTATAGCCTGTTTTTATATTGAATTGTCATTTATAGCTCCACTATTTTAGATTTAATTACTTACTGACTAAGTTTGGATTTACGCCGCTTTTAGCAATATTCCAGCAACATCACGGCGGGGGACACCACAAATGGGCTTCACACAATGTACCCATGTGGGGATTCGAACCCGGGTCTTCGGCGTGACGAGCCAACGCTTTGACCACTAGGCTACCCCACCGCCCCGATTACTACTTAATTACTAGTTTTATGGATATGGATATATGCCATATACTAGTAGTTTTACTGTTCTTCGTCAACAGGTTTTTATTTTCTACTTTTATTGATCTTTCATATGATTATAAACTGTTCTCGTCACAATATGGCTTAAATATTGCCGATGTGACGATACATATTAACTCACTCACTCACTACATGATGGAAGAAAACATTGACCGATGTTTTTATACCTAATCCGTTATTGTATAACACATACACTGCAGTTATATTAAAGAAAGTCGTGGTGAACTGGTGCCTTTTGGTAGTTTTAGATTGCTGATTAAAATGTGTTTTTTTGGTGTTTCCATGGCAACAATGTTGGCTTCAACTGAATTTGGTGGTAGTGCTCCTTTCTGGAGCAGAACTTTGAAACCTTTCAGTACTCTCCTTCCGCTTAGCTATATACACACCAAAACATTTGACATAATCATAACTCGAAGACATATTTGAGAAGAATAATTTGCAATTGCGGGGAATATTGATGACTTTGTCATCTTGTTAAACGTAGTATTTTTGTTATTTTATATTTCGGCTAAATTTTCCTACAATCACCAGCGGCTGAAGGGATGGTGTAAATCCAGCTAGGGTCCATGCAGGTAGCAAAAGTACTGTAAGTCCCCGTGGTCCCTAGTATGGTGATCTACCTTCTGTTGTTGACTATCTATATTTTTTATATTATGTATTGTCGAAATAATGCTATTAGTTTTAACTTCACATGCTAGTTTTAATTCGACCAGTGATACTCTAGTTGTTTTACTGTCCTTTGACGACAGGTTTTATAAAATATACACATTCTTTATAAACTTTGTTCTCGTCACGATATGACTGAAACATTGCTGATGTGACGTTAGATATTGACTCACTCACTCACTCACCCTGGCGACGGTAGTGCTTGACCTCACTGACCAGTTTTTGTCGTGCATTTCGGAATTTTCGCGGAAGATCGTTACTGATACTGTATGGTTTCCCTTTTACGTCTTTGCCAGCTTTCTTCACCTTTACCTTCAGGTGTTGGCGATCTATAGCCCGTGTTTTTAATTGTATTGTCTTCGTTAATTAAAATCTTTTAGTTTTACATGCTAGTTTTATAATCATATCTGTGACACTGCAGGAAGCAAATGTACTGTAAGTCCCCATGGTCCCTAGTATGGTGATCTACCTTCAGTCGTTAGCAATCTACAGCCTGTTTTTATATTGTATTGTCATTTCTAGTTCCAATATTTTAGATTTAATTGCTAGTTTTATATGGATATCTGTGATAGACTAGTAGTTTTACTGTTCTTCGTCAACAGGTTTTTTAATTTCTAACTTTATTCATCTTTATTATAATTATAAAATGTTCTCGTCACGATATGGCTGAAATATTGCCGATGTGACGATAAATATTAACTCACTCACTCACTGTCCATCTTCGACAGGTTTTACTCTTCAAAATGTTTTGTTTTCGTCACGGTCACGATATCGCTGAGACATTGCCGATGTGACGTTAAATACTTGCTCGCTCCCTCACTCACTCACTCTGCAGTTATATTAAAGAATCAGATTGTGCTTAATTTCGATGGAAACATACACATTCCAGCCATTTCGAATCAGCGTTGACAAGAAAGACACCGAAACTGGATTCGTTAGTGTCACTAGATCGTTTAACAATACACGTGATAGTGAGGTGAACCAATGTGAAAGTTGTTTGATGCGAAATTGTGGGCCCGATGTCTTTTATTCATAAACTTGGTATGATCGTGTTTGGCATACATGCGGATGAAGAACATTAGCCAATTTTAATGGATGAAAGTAAACGATCGCTCGTTGTATTGCTTTACAAAGCAATCGGCATTAAATAAGTTGACCTGAAGCAGGCAATAGACGGGTATAGTGAATTTTACGTCGCGTTCAGCTATATTCCAGCTATATGGCGGCAGTCCGTAAATAATCGAGTCTAGACCAGACAATCCAGTGATCAACAGCAGCATTAGCATCGATCTGCGCAAATGGGAAGCGATGACATGTGTCAACCAAGCCAGGGAGCCTGACCATCCGATCCCGTTAGTCGTCTCTTACGACAAGCATGGGTTACTGAAGATCAATTCTAACCCGGATCTTCACGGGTTAGACGGGTAAACAGTTCTTGTTCAAAACTGTGAATGGATCAATGCTTCGATACACCAAAACCACAAGGCTATATCGAGTCCACGTCAGGAAAATTATGATCTGGCTGTTTGTGAAATGTGACACGCTCGCGTCAGAATAAGAACTGCTCACCTTTGACCCAAAAGGGATAAGAGCTCCCACATGCTGGAGCAAGAACAGACCTCATGAGTATCTGTGTGTCGTTAAACGAGTCGTACCATCCATGCGTCAAAGAGGAATCTCGTACTTGTCCTTCATTTATGTTTGCTGGTCCTCTTTTCTCAATTTCAGGTATTGGATTGGAAATAGTACATGGATCTACAAGTGTACATGTATATGCATACATTAAGATTCTTTAGAAGAATAATAAAATTTTATTGTATCAAGGCAAACCGATAATTCCGAGTGAGTGAGTTAATATTTAGCTTCACATCGAGACTACTTCAGCATATCATGACGAGAACAATTTATATGTTAAAATCAATAAATGTAGAACGGAAAAACCTGTCGTCGATGGACAGTAAAACTACTAGTTTATAACAGAGGTTAACTTAAAACTAGCATGCTATCATAACAGATATCACTATAGACAACAATACAATATAACGGGCTATAGATCACCAGCGACTGAAGGCTGGTCACTGTACTAGGGACTGTGGGGACTTACAGTGAGTGAGTGAGTTAATATTTAACGTCACATCGGCAATATTCAGTTGCTGGCGATCTATAAGTTACCTGCTAGTTTTATATTTCTAACTGTGATATACCAGTTGTTTTACTGTCCTTTGGCAACAGATTTTAGAATATAAAATTCTAAAGTATTTACTATTTTAGTCACGGTATGGCTGAAATATTGCCAAAGTGACTTTAAATTTTAAACTCACTCACTCAATTTTCACATGGGCAAGCATGTCTTCGATCGATATTTCACAGTTTCATCCTTGTATGTATGTACTTGATCTCGCCCCCCTTTGAATTTCAGATGATTTTTTTTATAGATCTAAGGCCTTCCGGCATTTTGATGAGTAGTAAAAAGATCCAATGCTGGTCGCAAATTGGTCATCAAAACTTGGATTCCTTTACAATCTTGATTTATTTATGAAGTTTATTTAAACACATCTTTATTTGTCTTTCGATGGTATGCATATTTTTACCACGACATGGGACATCAAAATCATCATTGAATAATGACCCGTCTATTGTGTCAATGAATGCTTCTGAAATACTATTATAGTTTAATACTAAACACAGTGACCCCCATGATCGAATTATAAATAGGGTCCGATAATTCAGGAAGGAACTCATACACAAAAACATTATCATGTTACAAAATAGGCAATTACACGTTTGCTTAATAAAAGATCAAATAACGAAATGCATTCACATGTAGCCTGGGCGTTAGGCAAAGATTACAGGTGAATGATCTATGAAGCGTTAGAGTCACCTTGTGGAATGGGGATTAAAACTAGCTACAAAGGAGAGCAATAAACTACCTAATCACTTTCATATTTCAAAGCATCCAGCTAGGGTCCATGCAAGGTTTTAATTTCTAATTAAATTGACATATGATATAATCATTTATTGTTCTGGTCACGATATGACTGAAATATTGCCGATGTGACGATAAATATTAACTCACTCACTCACAAAGCAATGATTAAGGGAAACAAAACATACCCCCACGACTGTATCACAAGATGCATGCATTGAAACTTTCCAATGGCCTACTTTTACTTTATGTCGAACAATATTCCACCTGTTCTAGCCTTTGGTGTCTGTATTTCACAACTTTTGAGGTAAAATATAGCATTCATTTTTCTGCCAAGATTTCAGGACACAGTGCCTTAGCTAAGTCTCGTAGAATGCATTCATGCTTTGATGGAGCTTTTTTAGCATTATCGAAATGGTCTTATGTGTGTTATTTAGGACAGGGGTGTAACACGACTACCTTGTCTTAGGACCGTCAACAATAAACCAGCTCACTTTAGATTTGATGGAACTGGGATGAACAAAATATCACAAATTTCGTTATGAATTGAAAGTACTCACCACCTTCACAGGTACGGCCTGTATATCCATTCTGACACGTGCATGTGAAACCGTCACGGCCTGCAACACATGTTCCTCCGTTTGCACATGGCTCGCTCAGACAGTAGTTGGGCGCTGAGAAATATGAGAAAACATTGTGAAGATTAATATTTAGCAAACACTATAAACCTGTGACTACTCTTCGAAGCCAATTAGCCCCTTCAATTCAGATCCCATCGATCTTATGAGGTACTGATCGCGAGCTTAATCGCTTTTAAAGTCTTTGAATGACATTTAGATGTGTATACATAATACCGAGAATTTATGCATGTCAACACGACATGATGGAGTATATTATACGTCACCTGATGAATCAGTAAGAATGCACTCGTTTCCACAAATTCTCGCCCTTATCTGATTTGTTTGAAAAAATATTGAGTGGTCTGTGCACTACTTTCGTTTACGTCAGTTTCAAATGTGTTTAGCTATATTACAGCTGTATGTCTGTAATGTGTGTCGAAGATCGATGGCCAAAGGATTTGACCGCACAACAATCGATAATGTGCAACGCTGTTGGAAATTAAGACAAATAAATATTTAAATTGTTAAGAAAATGCACAGATCTTTGTGAAAACACTTCTTCCATAAGGCAGTGAGATTATTTTAACACAGCATTAGATAGTGTTTGATGTGAATCATGCGTGAAAACATCATTTGGTCGAAGACTCAATAAAGCAAACCTCGGCATCCTACAACACAAACCCAGTTAGGTATCGGACAACCGATGAGTATTATTATCTCAATGTTATACTAGACATTCATGAAACCACTTACTGTCATAATTCTCATATTATAACATGATCTCACCCAAGCAGACGACACTCCTCTTGACATTAGTCTCAATCTTATAGATTTCAAAAGCATTATTACACCTGAGTGTTTCAAGTTCGTATTCGGTGGAACACGTGTCGGTTTCGTTTTGAACACATGCTACTGAGACATTGCTTCCTCTTTTCCCTGCAAGAAATGATAAACATATACGATGTATAACGAGGAAAGGAGAATGTGCATAACATGCATGAAGTTACTTATTTGCGTTAATATATTTACTTGTGTACGTTACCGTACGTCAAAGCGTATACAAATAGAAAGGGGTGTTTTGTGGCACTGCCATGTCTTGCGTACGTAAGTGTCAGACCGTGTGTACGCACAAAGACTTCTCTATTCGTGATTTGTTGAAAAAAAGGTAATGTAAATGCATGTTGCCCAGTACCTCTCTTTTCGCTACAAGAAAACATCAACAAAACTATGTATAATGACGGAAATGAACCAGGGGTTAACATAGATTAAGCCGCCTATTTGCATGCTAAATATAAATGTATACAGATAGAAAACTTTGCAGATTGATGTTACCGACGCTAGTTACACGCCGTGTGTAAGTAGACAAACATATGTCATTATTACCAATATTTGTTTTGCACGTCTCAGGAGTGTTGTACTAAGAAACTCAAACAGCAAACACAACAAAACATCATTTGATTAATAGTTTGACAACAATGCTTTATGCGGGAGGAAAACCCTAAGTGATGTAGGTTCATGATGTTCATACATGCTGTGAATGGACAGAGCATGAGTATGACCCCATTACCAGTTCAAACCTTTAGCTCATTCTTACAAAGAAGGCCATTGTAATTTACAGACAAACCTAACCCTTTTAGCAGTACCACAACAAAGACCAGAACCAGTTTATATGGCAGGTTGGATATTGACGAAAATATATATCTGCCAATGCCATCTAATGAAATCATCCTTCTTAAGTATAATATGCTCTACAAATCCAGAACAAGCTTAGCACTGGGTGGACAAAAAATGTTAATTTTGATAACTATATGTACTTGACAAATGTTACGCGGATATGAGCTTAAAATACAACATATCAAAATTGAAAGCAACAGTGTAAAGCGAAGTTATTAAATTCCATGTTAAACATTGTACTTGCATTTATAAAACTATTCAATGGGATGTATAACGCTTCATCACTCAGGTAATGATTCATGATGATAGGAAGGGATCACTAACATTATACAAAAGACTGTCTCATCAACATCATCGTTATTTTTTGGTCTTCATCTGAATTGAAATTATCATTCCTAGTTCGCTTCAACTGGACGCTGTCAATATTATTGTGGTGACAGAATGTTCAGGTAATTACTTCAAAGCATGAAAGTCAATCAGTGACAAGGAATCATGATCACATTACCTTTCTTCCAAATCGGATATCTTCCTCCACATGAACCTATACCAGGTGGATAATCCAATATCAACCCATAATCAAATGGTAACAACATAATTCCTGTATTCAGTGAATCATCCAAACCAAGGTCTCCAGAATCTGGCCATCGCTGGTACATGTGAGGATTACTTGGTTTTGCATCGCAATATCGTGGTGCTGTAAAATGGCGTTAATGGTAATTAATCCTCCATGTTTATCTTCAACAAAATACAAAGTAGATCAGGTTGTAGTGGGATTACCATGATGATCAGAGATATGAATTCCATCATATTTCCCTATGACTAGTCTTGTCTTTGAAACATTAGTACATTTCAGAATTAAACTATTGATGTCATCATCATGTCATCATTTGGTTGGATAGAAAATTGCATTACAGACAAAGATTATATATAGCATGTGGAATTCATTGAATATAAAACAACTTGAAACTTACATGATCTGAATTGACTAACAAAAAATATATGATCAGCACACAAAGGAACTAAACGGCATATGGCAGAATATTGTGCTTGACAAAACTTCTTGAATAATATCACAGTCAGGAATATTGAAAATCACGCTTTCATGTGAATAAGCGAGATCGTCCTCATGTTGATCGAACGTCTTCACAGCAAAGCTACCCTACCTCCCCCAAAGCCGAGTGACATAATCTCTGATATAGATATTGTACTTAAACCATTCCCTTGGTGTATACTCCAAAGTAACCACAAATGTGTTATATCTATCATATTGTCCGCAAGCGCGAGTTCAATTGTTTTGAAAAATGTTCTGTGACAAGGAACGAACGCGAAAGAAATGTGTTTGGTGGCCATATAAATCTACTGCAAATCAGTTGCCTGATCACCAATGCAATGTTTCAACGAGCAGTGTGCACCGGCACCGTCAAATGTATCTTACAGTTGCCGTTCATATCATGGGAACGTTAGCACAACACGTCATTATCAAGCATAAGGCAATTGGTAATTTAGATTAGTTTCTGAATATGCTGTTATAATGTAAAAAAGAAAAGACGTGAACGGTATATCTGTTCATTTATTGAATGAACTGTCGCCTTTTTCAAGTTTCTGCTCTTAATTATTTATGTAGATGATTTGAACTATATTAAGCATAATTTCAAAAAAACCGCAGTGGTCTTACCCATTGCACAGTAGGCATGTAGAGGAAGAATAAGAAGAAGGAGGAGAACTTGTCTGCTCATTGTCTGCAAGAGATATATTTCACGATTGTTAGCGTAAGAGTTTCGTTATTTGACTTTGTTTGGATCATTCAGGATCTGATGAAGATTCTTATCCAACACAAAAACTCAAAATGAGTGAGTGAGTGAGTTAAAATGTTATATCACATCGGCAGTATTTCATCGTGTGACTATATCAAGTTATATATGAATAACAATTAAAGGTAAATTATAAAAAAACCTGTCAACGAAGGACAATAAATCAAATAGTTTATCACTGATGTAAGTATTAAAACTAGTAATTACATTTAAAACATTTGAGTGAGTGTGTGAGTAGATATTTAACGTCATATCAGCAATATTTCAGCCATATCGTGACGAGAACAAGTTAATTTATATCAATATCAAAATTAATAAATTTAGAACATAAAAATCGAAGGACAGTAAAAATACTAGAGCATCACAGATATAAATTTAAAACTAGTACACTATCATAAAATTAAATCAATATAGACAGTACAAAATCAAATCCGGCTATAGATCACCAACGACTGAAGGTACATTACCAAACTAGGGTCCATGGGGATTTGCAGTACTTTTGCTACCTGCACGGACCCTAGCTGGATTTACATCATCCCCTCAACTGCTGGCGATTATGCTGTTTCAGCCATTATTAAAAATAACAAATATACTACGATTAAAAGTTTGGTAGAGCTAAATTGACTTTGATCTTTTGGGACTTACGTAGCCTCCCGGGGGGCAATAATTTTATGATATTTAACCCCCTTTGAGTTTACAGCCACTAAGAATAGCAGTTGCCAATTTATACTACCGTGTATACAAGACCGTTCATTAATTTACACAATATAGTATTCAAAAGTTATGTTATAATTCTATTTCAATTAAAAATTCAATTATTAAAAGATAATTAACATTGTAAAAAAAATCCTTAACTGTTTTGACATCGAAATATTTATCCCTTGTGATGGAAAAATAAATACAGAACATGCTTGACCGTGGTTCTCTCATCACAAGGGATGCAAAACGGAGGATCCTCACCTTTCAATAGGTATTCATGAGTATATCTTGTGTGGCCAATAGGACATCATCGTATGATGACCCCTCAAATCTGGACTGACAACCCAAGTGAGTGTACCCAATATAAGGTTTTATTACATGTAATTTATTGATACCTATTTGGGATTCTCAAGTCTTCTGCGTCACATCACGGACGTAAGTTCTCATGCTAGCTTTGTAATCCGAGTATGGAATAAGAAGTGGTATCACAGATTTGTTGAGTGCTGCCTTGGCAGCAAGATCGGCCATTGTGTCCCCAGAAATGCCAACGTGGCTGGGTAACCAACAAAGGACGATGTCGCATTGGCCAGTAGCAAGCTCATTATATAATTCTATAATTTCAATTAAAAGAGGATGTTTGCAAGAAAGATTTTTTAATAGTCTGAAGGCAAGAACGAGAGAAAATATTATGTATTGTTTATATTAAGGATGTTTTTAATATATTTAAGAGCTGTTCATATAGCATTAGCTTCTGCTTTGGAAATAGAGCTGTCATTTGGTATACAGAAGATATTGTTCTGGATCCAATGACAGTGGCACATGCTACTGCGCCACCATCCTTGGATCCATCTGTAAATAAGGATTTACATGTATTATATTTATGTCTTAATTGACTAAAGTCGTGTTTATACTGTAATTCATTAGTTTCTGATATTTTTAAAATGTGGTTAAATGTTAGGTCGACGTCTGGCTGAAACAATTCCCAAGGAGGCGAAGAAGGAAGACGGGAAGGAAATATATTTTCCAGCTCAATGACGGCAGCAGAAATGAATTGTTTAATTCTTAAACCAAGAGGCGGAACAAGAGAAGACTTTTTTGTTGTACAAATTCTCATAAAGAGGATTAAAGACTCAGTTATACGCAGGGCTAGACTCGATAGAATAACGATTTGTTATATACTGCAAGGATAATTTTATACGGCGTTGCGCAAGAGATGGCTCTTCGGCCACAACACAGAGACAGGGGAAGTTCTAAAGGATCCAAGACATAGTCTTAGACCTTGATGGTGGACAGAATCAAGAATGTTAAGGTTACTTTTGCAGGCTCCACCATATACGATGGGTCCGTAATCAAGTTTTGATTGACATAGATGTAGGAGGGTTGTTTGATCCCCTCCCCACAAAGAATTGGAAACGACTTTCAATAAATCAAGCGCCTTTAGACATTTATTTTTGAGTGATTTAATATGCGGAAGAAAACTTAGTCGAAAATTAGAACCCAAGAACTTGGCCTCCTTGACAACTTTGATGGGAGATCCAATTAAAGATAGGTCTGGGAAAGAAATAAAATATTATACATTGTTTATATTTAGGATGTTCTTTAATATATTTAAGAGCTGTTAATATGGCATTCACTTCTGCTGTGAATATAGAGCTGTCATTTGTGAAGCTGTCATTCGAGAAGATATTGTTCCGGATCCAATGACAGTGGCACAAGAAACTACGCCACGATCCTTGGACCAACTGGTAAATAAGGATTTGAGTGTATTATATTTACTTTATAATTGCATACAATTCTTATTTATATTGTAATTCATTGTTCGCGTAATAAACCTGATCTTGGGGTAGAAGAGAAGGCTCCGATGCTGTGTTATGATCCTCCAAAGAGTTTTCTGTAATTCATTTAAAGAAAAGGATTCCTTATAGCCTTCAGAGTTAACAGATTTTAAAATTTAGATGATTTCGTTCCACACTTTGTTAAGTGGAATAGTTCCATCTATTTTGGAAGAAGATTGATTCAAGCTCTTGCCTTTATTTCATTTTACTCATTTACAAGCTACATTTGACATTTTCCACTTTTCCTCGGACGGATATATACATACATGTTTCGTCAACATTTCCTTGCCTTCTGTACATGAGATTACATGAGATCTTAGTGATGGTTTCAGTAACAATAGCATTCAGTGTATCATCTCATCCAAATCACGACCCAAAGTTCAGGATTTAACATAAAGTATTCAAAGTCTGCCAATACGTTTAGATGAACGTTATTTGACATTGGTACTGGCAGTATAGTTAGGTCACTACCATATTAGTCATTATTAACAGTGAGTGAGTGAGTGAGTTAGGATGTTAAGTCACACTGGCAATATTTCAGCCATATCGTGACTAAATCAAGTAAAAAATATATTAACAATTAAAGGTAAATTATAAAATTCTGTCAACGAAGCACAGTAACACAACTTGATTATCACATAAATCAATATAAAACTAGTAATTGAATCTAAAATATGTTAACTATATATGACAATACAATATACAAACAGGCTATAGGTTGCCAATGACTGAAGGTAGATCACCATACTAGGGACCATGGGGACTTACAGTACATCTGCTTCCTGCATGGGCCCGAGCTGGATTTACAGCCGTTAGCAATTTAGATAAATCTAGCCATACATTTAAAAAGACACATATACTACGATTAAAAATAGTGGAGGGTCATTATTAACAGACCATGACAATCTAAAAAGAATTACATATTAGTCCAGAGCTGACTATGTACCCTGTGCTGGCTGTAAATACTAACTAGGCTTTACTACATCATTCAATAAGCAAAGAATCTGCTCAACAAAGAAGTAATCTAGCACTTTAAATCAATATAAACAAAATGACCCATTCCTACCCATTATCCCCAGCAAAGAAAATTGGCTTCTAAATGTTATCAGTCGTGATCGAAATCCGTGCGATTTAATGTTGATGAGTGAGTGAGTCAATATTTAACGTCACATCGGTAATATTTCAGCCATATTGTGACGACAAAAAGTGAGGTACTAAGAATAAACATATGTATACTTATTTAAAAACCTGCCAGCGAAGGACAGTATAACGACTAGAATATCACAATTCGATTAAAACTAGTTTGAGTTCAGTGTAAAATGTTAAATCATTTCAAAACATCACAATATAAAATCGGGCTATAGATCGCCAACAACTGAAGGTAGATCACCATACTAGGGACCAGGGGGACTTACAGTACATTTGCTTCTTGCATGGGCCCTAGCGGGAAAAGAAATTTAGCCATACCATAAAATAACAAATATTCTACGTTTAAGAAACATGGTTGAGCTAAATTGACTTTGAAAGTTTTGGGACTTACGTATCCTCTCAGGAGGACAATAATTTTACTATACTTTAACCCCCTTTGAGAATACAGCCACTAACAATCGCAGTTTGCTTATTTATACTATTATTGATAATAAAATTACATTAACTATTTACAAAACATATTGTTCAAAATTTATCCAATAATTCAATTTCTTTTAAAAATTCGATAAATAAATGAGAATGTACATTATAAAAAAGATCCTTCATTGTTTTGTTAATTATCCCTAGTGATGGAAAAATTAACGTTGATGAGTAGGAGATAAATAAAGAACATAGTTTCGTAGCAATATGCCGAGTTAAACGGACAGCTGCAACCTGTTCAATGGATAGGGCTGTGGTTTATCACCTGTTTAACAAAATAGATGCTTCAGCATGAGTACCCTTTGCATATGGATTCACTTCATACAAATTAGTCTTAAGATCTCGACAGTTGCACTGTAACTTCAGTCATTTATGGAGGTGTTATGGGAAAGCGTCCTTTGTTCTTAGCATTGCTTGATTCATCTGGCGTATGAGAAAGATGACACAGTATTATCGTTTTTAACCCGAAAACAATCTTTGAAGAATAACAAGCATAAATACGATTTTTTGTGTGTGTACATTTGGGTGGTGGGGGTGGGTGATGTTGTATATGTTAGCAGCATTGACAACAATCTTTCCTCCACTGATACAGGAGCGCAATTCAAAAGCGCCGGGATGCTGAGGAGACGTGGTATGCGGGTAGACACGGGCATTTGCGCGATTAGTATTCCCACAAAGCTCGGAATGCACCCCTCGAGACATTGGGTTTCTGCTGACAGGATGAGTATTGGAATCATGTCTACAAAGATTGTGACAATCATCATGCTATGTTGCAAATATGAAATATAAGTACGTTTGCGTAGCGAAGGGACATGCGACCCCAATAAACGTGCTTACAAAGTTTACAGATTGACTTTTTTGTCCCGTGCCTGAATTCCACTGACAGGTTAATGATGCAAAAACGGACGTGTTAGCACGCTTTGTGGCACCACCCACGCGGCACAGTTCCTCAGCCAGATATACAAAACCTTGGGCATCAAGGATCCCGTCCATGTCATTGGTACAAGCCAACTGTACCTTTTGCTTAAAACAATCGATGCTTTTTTTCACGTTCGTTTATTTCGTATTCCCAGGACGAAGACAATCTAACAGATGTGACACCAAGAACTGGATGAGCAAGGTTATATGATACTTTTATGCATGCATTATTTCAACCCCAACATGGAGGGAGAAACTCAGCCTGTTTCATGTAAATACATTTTTGAGGGAGTATTTAAATTCAGCACTGTTCAACAGAATAAAGGATGCTTACCTCTACTTGTTTCCGGTCGTTCCCCTTGGGCTGCCTCTGTTCATATGGTTAAGCTTGGTCAGCACCTATCTTATATACTCTTAACTCGAAAGGAATATCATCACAGCTGACAGGTAATATTTATAATATATTTGACACAGTACCCAACTCCATGGGAATAGTCAAGGCCATGTGAAGACAGCAGATGTCATGATTGGGTAATAAATTCACGCAATATATTCCTGCCTCAGACACCCCTCACCATCTTTTGAGTTATTCTCTAATAACATTGTATTATTAAAATGTATTAACACGCCAACAGGTATTTCAATACACAGGCAAAGCTGCTCATTGTAGTGTTACAACAGCTGTAAAATATTGCCCCGCATACTCCACAACATGAAGTATTTGTAATTGATTTTTTGGTCCTTCTCCACAGAAATGTCAAATCCAAGATGTTTATGATTACAGTTATGAAGTTGTACCGAACATTACTCTACAGCCTGATACTAATATATTTCTTCTGCCACATCCACGCAATGACATTGTCATGCACATACCTTCATCACGGTCAGAAGATATGGATCCACGTTAACTTCAGTTACCTTATACGTCCCCATGTAACAGCATTAGACATTCTATATTGCCTGAGATTCTTGGGGAGAAAGGTAACTATGGGATCAAAGTTGAATCTGTACCGCTACTCTTTCTGGTTCGATTGTCGTGATTTGCAACTTTAGTTGCTTTATGATGCAATTGTGAAATATATCACATCTCTCTGTTTGCTGTTTGTTGGTTTCACACAACGTAGTAAAAATCACAATACCAGAATATTCTGATTTGCAAAAAAAATCTTGTATTTTCTTTGAAAGAGGCAATATAACAGCACATATTTATCCACTTCACACAAAACTAATCAATGGTTGGTACCTCTTTGGTAGATATACTTACGATATTAACGCTCTTGGTTATATCACAGATTTTGTGTTACACATGAAGTCCGACCAACGCAGTGTTTCGCTTTTGTGAAAAGCACCACAATCATGAGAGCAGGAAGCACTTTGGCGCAAGCATATATTATTTATTGCCAAATAACTGAAAGAGATCAGTCCCTAGAGATGTCAATTTGTTGGTCTGTGTCGAAAGCAAACGCTGTGATCAAGGTCATGTCATAAAATCCCTATGCAAATTAATACTAAATAATCACGAATACCAAATGGATAGTATATGTACATACTTGCAGAGGTATACAAAGTCAAAAGAGAAACTTCACATTCTTTCTTCAGGGCACTTTAAAAACACAAGAGATGGTAAGATGGTTAAATTGTTATTATTTCATTGCTGAGATCTGTGTGATGTACTCGATACACTGACAGTGCCATAATCCGTTCTATTAGGCTACACAGCCGTTCCAAAACATGGGCATATAGAATGTCAAGTCACAAGAATAAAAATGCGAAATTTCTCAGTTCAATATCGTGTATGGCCACCCCGCGCATTCACCACTGCAAAACACCGTCTCCTCATCGACTGCCTGATGCTTGTGAACACGTGGTTGGGGATTCTGCGCCATTGCTCTTGCAAGGAAGCGCCAAGTTCCTGCAAATACTGAGGTTGGTTCCTAAGACCACGAAGCCTTCTCCCAAGTGCATCCCAAACGTGCTCTATTGGATTAAGGTCAGGGGACCTCGATGGCCAGTCCATGACGTTGATTCCAGCGTTTTGAAGGAAATTCCGTGTCAACATAGTGCTATGCGGCCGAGCATTATAATTCTCGAACTGTAGACCTGGGCCATGAGCCGCCATGAAAGGAACGAGTTCAGGGGTGAGCACCTGGTCGCGGTAAGCAGCAGCTGTGAGGTTTCCACGGCCGGTGTAAGATTGAAAACATACCCAGCGTTGACGAAAGGTACCCGGCTAAAGACGGTACTCTTTCAACATTGAATTATTAAACGGACTCAATATTTTCAATATGGACATCGAGAATGGAGATTGGGGTCGATTTTTCAACATTGAACATTTACCCGGCTGCTATTGATAAAATACCCCCGGGTCACGTATTGAAAAGATACCCTCGTTGAATAATGACCCTCGCTGTTTCTACACTGTCAAGTAAGATACATATGTTAAGATATATACGCGTATGCAACGTACCGGACATCTTTGGTTTGATGCAATGTGCGAAATAGCCACTGGTCCGCTAGTCCGTGGCTAGTAAAATTCCAGTCGGGCCAGTAAATCTCCACAGTCACTGGGCCGACTGGCAAGTGAACTTTCATGGGGTGATTTTGAAAACATATAATTCTCTCCGACATCATGCAAGATTATGGCCTGATAAAAATGTTCATCATATTGGCAGCTTAATGATGAAACCCGTGTCTACATTCAAATTTCGGGCTAGTGATATATTTTGTGGGCTAGAAACTTTCAGGCATAGCTTGCCCGACTGGTAAGTACAATTTGGAAACTATTTCGCACACTGGTTGGATGGTGAACATAGACACATTTTAGCTCACCTGGACAAACTTCAGATGAGCTTATGTCGTTGGCTGTATGTCCGTCGTCGTGCGACATCTGTAAACATCATTTCCGAAACTACTTAGCCGATGAGACTGAAACTTGACATTTATGATCCAAACCAAGAGGACACCAAAGGTTGTTAGAGGCATTCCGATCCAATTTCAGATATGGCGACTACAGCGGCCATATACTGAAAATGACATTTTCGCTCTTTAGTCCCCAATTTCTGCAGTGAATCAGCTGAAAGTTGATATATCTGTGCCAGATAGCAAACTCAACAGATTTGCTTTACTTCGCCATTTTACCTATTTGACCCGTTATTCGGCACGGCCTTTAATTTCAGTTGTATCTTTAAACATGTTCTCTGAAATTACTATCTACTTGAGTGATGAAGCTGAACATTTTCATATATCTTCTTGCAATATGTATATAGCCATATTGAAAATGCCATTTTGACTGATTTGTGACTCATTTCTGCAGCAATTCAGCTGAAATTTACTATGTAGATACTGAATAGTAAGAATCAACAAATATAGTGCGGGTTTTGCTGTGCATCGCATTTTACCTTCATTATAAAATTGCCATCTTGTCTCATTAGTGGCTCATTTTCGCACCGATTCAGCTGGAATTTGTTAAATAGCAATGCGTAACGCATGCATATCATGTTACGGATTTGGCTGTGTGTTTTGTTTTGACCTCTTTCGTTGCGCTAAGCACGTTTCCGTAAACTACAGTGCCATGGCACAATTGTTTCTGATATAGTTGTGTTATTGTAGGTCTATGTCTCTTTGATTAATTGTATCATGGCGAGAGTACTTTTGTACTGTTGAAATTGGACCAGTAGTATGTTGCACGTTTTATAACGTATGACAGAAGTAACTTTGTCAGCGTTCCTTGAATGTTGTATACCGTGTGTGTCAAATCTCGTAGATTGTAGTAGAATTATAACTTATAGCATGAACTATTTTCAAGAGTAGATGTCCAATTTTGTTAAAACATGTTGATCACACGTTCTTTCTAACTGTGATATGGATATGTCGTTGTCACAGACGAAACTCAATGTCTGTTTTACTGACACCTATGTGTCTGCCTGGGTGTCTGCTAATGACAATATTCAATACACAACTTCGATCACTGACCACATGCAATTTGAACACCTATCAGGCTATACACCATAAACAAGACGCATTGATTTATGGCCGGAGTTCGGTCGCTGTCACATTATGTAATTACACAAACAGAAAGGTGTGATACTTGTACACATGCCATGTTATGATGTCTGTTGATTGCAAAATGTTATACACAAAAAATGAGCATGTATTTACAAAACCCAACATCTCTATATATACACACACAATGAGCCGTGAGGGCATCTGCAAATGTTGAACCAGCCGTTACACTTGAGTGCACACCCACCCGCTCTGACTGGGTTCGGTATCCCGGCTCCTTCGTTTCTTGGGAAGTAAACCCAAATACAAAATATTGCACTTTTGATTTGCGATTGTACGCTTATAATTTTGTTTATGTGTTTTTTTCATAATCAGCAATGTATATTATATGTGATGAATAAGTGATAATTGTGTTTTAATTATGTTAAATTTGTTGGTTGCATGTGACCTTTAAGTTTATAGCTAATTCCATTTAAGCCTTCTTACTACGAGCTGCAAGCTCTGAGACAACTTGTCTAAGACTACAATTACAAGCGAAAACAAAACATAGATATTTGTAGCAGTTTACCGCTTCAATGTTTCTCTCATCATAAAGCGAGTTTTTAACCGCTAATTCCCCACCTCTCCTAAAAACAAGATTTTTAGTTTTATCTAAATTTACAGTTAATCCCCAGTTATCTGCATACGATTTTAAAGTGTCTAACTGGCACTGAAGACCACCAATAGTATCTGACACAAGAATTACATCATCCGCAAATAACAACATTAGAATTTCAAGTACATCTGGAAACAATTTGTCTCCATGTTTACCATAATTTGTGATTTGTATAGGAAGTTCATTTATAAACAATGAGGATAACATTGGACTCAACATACAACCCTGCCGTAAACCAAATGTACCGTTAACTCGGATTGAACTCTGACACACGATTTCACTGTTTTATATATACTCATGAAAGCAATTTCCAGAGTTTATCTGTATTTACAAAACCAAAAGCTTTTATAAAACCTTCTTCTACACAGATTTTTCTCGATGATAGCATACAATGTGAAGATATGGTAAACAACTGAATAGCCCTTCCGAAAACCAGCTTGAGTTTCAGAAGCTTTATCCATAACATTTGCCCATTTTGTTAGTCTTTCATTTAAAACACAAGTATATATTTTCCCGTGTGAGCTGAGTAAAGGAACTATAATTGCTCTACTCCACATTTGTGGGAAACAACCATTTAAAATATTTTATTGAACATTGCTACTCAAAAGGGCATTATTGTAGATTCACTTGTTTTAATCATTTCTATAAGGACAATACCTGGAGATGTACCATTTTTCATATGTTGTATCACATGGATTCAAATCACTG